TGACCGAAATGTCACGTTAACATATAAAACCTTTAAATGCAACTGTTTTTTATCAAAGGGCGTATTCGATAGCCGATAGTTTAAATGATCGAAGGAAATATATAAAACATTCCGTAGGCTGTTCTAATAGTTCAACTTTAAAAAAAATTGAAAGCTTTTAACGTGCTTCACAACTAAAAAATTAGAAGTCCTTGGCAAGTCATTGAGCGAACTTTTAGCAATTGCTTGGGACACCCTGTACTGGCGCCGATCTCGATGAACAATTCATTGTGCGAAAAATTATTCGACTTATCGGGATCGGACAAACGGGCATTTATTTGTTATAAACTAAAATTCGAGATATTCAAAGGTCAAAACTAATGGTTTGATACAAACTGTTATTTAATTAGTAAAAAAATGTGTTCTTTTTAACATTTTTTGACAAACGAATTATGTCGAACCAAAGGTTTCTCTCACATTGCTGTTTTATATTAGGTTTAATGCAGAAAATAAAAACTTACCTACTAAAATTTAGAATTTTTTGGAATGAATAATTTTTCCTGCTTCTAGCCCAACATTTCAGCTTGGCACAAGGTAAATTATTATTAAACAAACTTACGCTCAAACCATTCAACAGCAAAGTGCTGTTTAATTGACCTACTTATTATGTTTCGCTTGCATCTTTGTGTCCTTTCTATTTACAATTTAGATGTCTTTCATTTTGATATTGATGTAATTATTGCACCATATATATATGTGAAAAGATCGTTGCCTAAAGAAGGTGTTACAATTCGAGTGCAACAGATAATGCTACTGTGAAATTTATTAAAAATAATTTATACGAAATGCAATACTCATATATACTCATGTAATACCTTTTGAATTACACCTTTCAACTATGGGACTTTTGCCTTACCCTGATGGGAGGATCTTGAATAATATTGATCATATTTCACAGTCAGAACCCTTAGGAATTAGCCAACAGTAATCTCATTCTTATCTAGGAGAATACTAAAGGAATCCAGCATATCCGCAAACTACCAATGGAAGAGTTTTAATAGGTCATATAGTAATTTTTTTACATTACCCGGAAGAAAATTTTTTACGCGACATTAATTACTTTATCGTCGTGTACAACAGTTATATATCTATAAAGTAATGTAGTGGAGTACCTCAGCTTTATTTAAGTGGTTTTTATCAATTCTCAATTACAATTCTCCGACTATAAAAGAAATTTGTTTCTGGTACAGAATCAGGGTTGTCTAGAACGCGTTCGAGTTTTTACTCAGTGTTGTGCAAGAAGATCCACAAAACTGTCATCATGAAAGTCGCCTTCTTTATGGGATTCCTGGTCTGCCTGAACTTGGCTTTTACCGGTGTGTATTGTACTGATATTGTGTCATTTGTGGATTGTTTGAAAATCCGGTATTCAATTCAGCAACTGAAATGTATTCCTTGCCTTTTTCGCAGATGCAGCCATAAACAACGAAAGGATTCAATTACTCCAACGATTACTCCAAAGATTTGACCCTTTCACAATCAGAGATGTTTCTCTGGTTTTGTCTGACGAGTATGTAACTGATACTTTAATTTAGACAATAATAATTTTTATATCCATTTCATTAAATCAATTGCACACTATCGAATTCTTCGCCAATTCGCTACCTATCTCCAAACACAAAATGTGATTTATTAACAATCACTTAAAAATAGTCTATGGTGTTTACATTGTTTTAAACTGATTATTCCTCTCAAAATGCTCAGCATGCAACAATACATCATATTGCCCAAATATAGAATACTAAATTTTATCCGCTGGTTCAATCGCCTTGATGTTTTTTTAATTGAATTAAATTGAAAATTATATTTAGGTTATTAGTACTATATTTCAATCCAACTGCGAACAATTTACGTATGATATGAGGAATAAAGCCATGCTCGATTGGATTTACTAAACCTTTTTGCTCATTTAAAGTAAAAGAAGAGGAAATTAAATAATTTCTTCTACCGAAGACACAGAAGAGAGTAGCAGTCTTTTCTTTCTGGTACTGCAAAAACGAACCCATTTGTAAAATCCCTGAGTACGTGCATATTGGCACGTCACATCATTTGTAAATTTTAATAAACAAACCGACACACTCCGGACCCAAATTGCGGATTAAACATATAGTCCTTAGTTACATAAACCTATAGGCAACTGCAATTCAGTAAACTTCTTTATATATATAAAACTTATCACTGAAATATGATACTTTTTATTTAAGCATTTCCGTCTCCCTAAAGTCTGCAGTCATAGCCAATTTATCCAATTTTGATTTACCGCAAGACGATGAAGTGGGAAATAATATCAATGCCACCATCTTCATTCCATCAGTTTCTTACAATGTTGATCGGTTGTCCATATCCAGTAAAAAATTGGGTATTCAGTATGCTCTTCCATCCTTACGGTGAGTTTATATTTACTAAACATAAAGTAATTTGAAATAATGGTGTCAATTTCTTTAGCGCTGTTGTCGGTGGAGTATCACTAGCTGTCAGCCACTCATTCAGCCATAACCCTCTCAAAATGGAAACTTTCCTGATATTGGCACAGATTAGTGACTTGTCCGTAAGTAATTGATTCAGTTTTTATCGTTAATAACCGTTAGACGACATGACTGGAATAAAAGAGCAGATATATGAGCAGGTGGAATCATATAAGAATGAAAATTATTCCATGGAAGCAGTAAAACAATCTCAATTCTTGAAACACAATAAGAAGCTTAACATT